AGGTTTCGTGTTTAAGTTTTTTCTCTACAGAGCTGATAATACGAAAACTTGATTTTTTATTTTGAAATTTTTGAAAATTTTATCTATAAATAAATGAATTATAAAATAATCATGTTTTGATGTAGTAAATAAAAAAGAATTATTCAACCATTTAAAATTATAACAAGTCATTTCATTAATTTTTTTTCAAAGCAATAAATCTGTAATGTTCATTAAATTGATTGAATGAAAAAAAAAATTTCGTAAAATAAATAGATCCAAAGTAAGATGATCCTTATTTACGACTAGTACTCCGTATACTCTTTCATGCTTTATGGGTAATTGAACCGAAAAAGGTACAATTAAGATACAGAGATTGGTTACATGAGAGTTAGAGTCAGGCTTTTTAATGTAGGTCACAACTATCGCGACTGCAGGAGGCTGGAAAGATGAGTCTTGTGCTTGTTAAATGTTGTATAAGATCCTGAGATCGTGCTCAAGAGACGGTGAAAATCTAGGTCTTTCCTACTCTACTAATGATTCTTAAAATACATATAGAGAATTGTCGCTGTGAAACTTGAAATAAAAACAAATTCCAGGATAGCGATTAAAAAGCACCGCTGTGAATTAGAGGGCTTTCATTAGACAAATAGCCAAGAATTTTTTATAAATATTTATGTAAATAGTTAAGGTAGTACCCATTGGGAATACAGGAGAATATGTCATATAATGAAGTAGAGGAGAAAGAGAAAGAACAAGAGAATAGTCGCGTCGTGATGGCGCCGTCCATTTGTGTCGCATTGTTTCACGCACTGTTATAAGACTTATGTTAAGAGTATGGTCAAAATATATGTCTCTCATTCTGTAAACCATTGATATCAATCTAACATTTAGGAATTATAGTGGAAAGTAATCAAGTGCAATAATGAAAAAAATCCATTTTTCTAATTTATTATAATTATTATTTCTAAAAATGAATTTAGTCAGTGAAGAATTTAAGATTGAAATAATTGATTAAGTAAACATTATTTGCAATTTAGTGCATAGTACATTTAGTAATGTTAATAACTTGATCAACCAAGCTACCTCAATATGGAATTTCAAAACCCGTGAATCACTGTACACTTTTGAGGAATAATTAATCATTGATGTATCAAGATGAAATAACTGAAGTGGAAACAGATGCTTTTGGTGTCTTTATACATAAAGTTTTTTTCCACAATATGGAGATATTAAAATGTTTTTATTTGCTTTTTCTTTGAATTCCACTTTAACGTGCAATTAAAAATTTCTAATATTCAAGTAGCATAGAAATGAGTTCTCGTCATATTAACGTATGAGATAATTAAACCGCTTGGAATGGCCGAAGAGAAGGTCGTTTCTCTTAAGTTAGTAAAAGCAAAAAGTTTAGTCTCATGGAGAAAAATTCCGGGGATGCTACTGCCACGCTAAGACTTCGAAGGGAGTAAAAAGGATAAGAAAACAAGCTATCGCGGTTTCTCACACTCGGTAGAACAAAGGAACAACGTTGGAAACAATCAGCGAGATTAATTTTTTTTCCTTTTAACTAACAGAACTCAGCGGTAGTGAGAGTGAAACAAAATGTACCTACTGCGAGAAGTTGAGATGTAGGAGAGAAGAAGATAAATCATGTCGAGAGTGACATTTTACATGAAGACTAAGAGAAAGGTCGATATAACGTCTTACTCCCTAGGAGTTGCATGATATAGTCATTAATTTGATGAAAAAATCTTCAAATATTTATATAACTTGTTAACAATAAGACAACATACAGATAAGGCTGAATTGATGAAAGAAAAATTTTAAAAAAGAAAAATCTATTTCTCTCAATAATGAATCGAAAAGATTTCCTTTTAACTAAAGTTGGCAGTAGTGAATTACAAACTAACAGAGCATTTGAAAAGTTCTCAAAGTAAATCTCTATGTCAAGAAACAATCTAATCATTATTAACGTCGTAAGTAACTATCATTACTTTACTACTTTCATTTAGTTGTAATTAGAACTTGTAATAAGTATGCTTTTATAAAAATTGGTTTACCAACTGATGTCTGAAATATTTTTTTATAATTTTCAATTTAAATAACGATTTTTGATTATGCCGTGATGTTAAATATAAATAAATTTAATTCTTCAACAGTGTGAATTCTTCTGAATTTTATTTTTTATCACCTACGTATGATGATTGAATGACTTGAAAATCCATCAGTTCATCTATTGGTATTACATCATCATAAATAACTTTGATACTGTTTCGTTATCATTGCAATATTCTGAAATAAGATTTACTCTAAGAAATTATAGTAAATGGAAGTTAGTAAAATCATTGATTTGCCTCTTACTTACTTGCCTCATACTTTAATTATTATTATTATTATTATTACTGATATTAGTTGACAATAAATAGAACAAAAATTAATATGCTATGAACTTTCATTCTCTTCTATTAAGACGTTTTTTTCTGTATGAAGTAATCAACTTCAATAAAATTTCGTTCAAATAATGTTTGCATCAAACAGCACAACAATAGAAGGTTAGAATAGTTTTCAGAGTAAATCTTAGCATCTCAGAACAATCTAGACATTACTTGTATCTATTTTTATTTGAGACTTTATTGTAGTTATTCCGTGTATGTCCTATTCATTAGAATAGTCATCATTTTCTCATAGTCTTCAGCAATTGTTCTCTTTTAACTTTATTTTTTGCAATATACTCATGTTATCCCTATCTCTTCCAATTACCTGCTTGAATCACTTTGTTTCACCACTGCTCCAAAAAGACAAAGCAATAAACATAGTTTAAAAAAGAAAAAAATTCTTCTGTACGAGATTCTATAGTTTTTCGTTTTTTATTTGCAAGAATGCAATACTTTACTCTGTGATCAACGAAGATGATGTGTCCTTCTTTTAGTAAAGTTCTCTTTTCTCTAGTCCAAGAGACAAAACAACTGGCTATTTTTACGACACTCAACTGGACTTGGTTTTCCCAACAAATTGCCTCATGTTCACCAATACACTACTGCAATTAACAAAGTATACAACTGGCTATTTTTTTACTTATCTATCACAAGGACAAAGGGATTTCATAAAAACAAAAAATTGTGTTCAAAAGAAATAAAATATGAGAAAAAAAAATTATTAACATCGAGGTTTCAGTACACTTGGGATAAACTAGTAAAACCTAAATAATTGGTTAAATTGTATTTTAAAGTTTAAACTATAAAGTAATTAGTTTAAACTCATTATTTATATTGAAATATTTACTTTTAAAGTAATTATATAATAAAGAAATAACAAATGAAAGATTAAGAAATCTTATACTTGAGCTATTTTCATAATAAAAATAAAATAAGTTAAAATATTTTATTTTTGTAAAAATTATATCTAAATGTATTTCCTTGTAACTCTAATTACAAAGTGAAATACTTCACAACATTAATTAAAGTTAAGAAAGATTGCATTATATCAGTAATTACAATGATTTTTTCATAGCACTGTTTTAAAATGAAGAAAAGGCCTATCTTATTAAAATTCTCTTGGAAATGGTTGGTAATACTGTTTAAACGGAATCATTATACTAATATTAATGTAAAAAAAAAATTTTTTTAAGTAATATATTGATGAAAAGTCACAATTCTAAGAAATTTTAAATCCCTCAGGACTAAAAGATTCAAATAAAAGTTGAACAGATCTCACAGCGAGATTTTACCTGAGGATCTTCTTCGTGAGATTTATTACAGCGGTCTACTCTCGAATGGTTAGGGCGGTTAGGCAATACATTGGGAGAAGAGAATCGACAGGTAAAAAAAGAAAGAAGAAAACTGAAAAGTCCACTGAGATTCAGTTTTTAAAATCACGCACCTGGATTTTAATGGGCTGCGCCATTAAACTCTAAGGTATGTATGCCGAAAATGGTGAGTTCATTCGGTTATAGATTTCCAAATTTGAAAGATTATTTTCATCTCTCTGCTTATATCACATGAGGCGTCCAGTGTAAACCAGAAGTTGAGGTTGAGTCAGGTTAGGTCTAGGTAAGCAAAAAATGACGTGATCGAATCTACTGATCTGTGCTCAAATGACTAGGCTTGAGAACCAGAAAGAGAGAAAAAGAGAAAGATCCTTCACCTGTGAAACTTTACACCCAACTTCCGCTCTCCAAGATTTTCATATATCTACATTTTATATCTAACTTATCAGACTTTATAACAAGCTCAAAGGTCATAAAAGTGTTATGATAATTGAGTTGAATTCTTTCATCAGAAATACACACTTTCAACAGACTTTTATTGAATTTATTAAATAAAAAATTTAAATTTCTATAATTAGCTTGGAAATAATATTAAACTATTCTTTGTATTTTAAATCAAAAATAAAAATTCTCCAAACGATGAAGAGAATTACAGTTTATGAAATGATTGAATTGATTATATAATTATTAGTATGATTTATAGAGCAAGTTTTTAACTACATTGTTTTATAATGACTTCTGTCTCTCTAGATTGATTTCTCAAGGCTGTTAACAACATCCCCAACAACTTCCGCCGTATTTATTCGCACTTATGTTCAACGGATGTTGAAAATTATTTTACTTATTCATTAGATATTTAAGAAAAAACCTTAGGTTCTAGTTTTCTATCAAGTCAAAGTAAAGAGAAGTTCTATCTTAGTGCTCGATATAACGATAATAAGGCCGATATTTATCGATACTATTCAAGTTTAACTGTTTCTCGATAATCCAAAGGATGTTATTCATGTCTATAAATGTATGTACTGAATGTGGACTTGAAGTAAATCAAGATGAAGAACTCAGACTTGATACAAGTATTTATTTTATCCAACAGCACATTGCTTTTGCCTCTTATCCGACTTGACTTTTCTAATTTTTTTGTCATCGATCAAAGGGAATACGCGGCAATAAACCGGCATGGTGACTACTTACAAACACGACCATGTAAAGAAGAGAGAGTGCAATTACTAATTACTTTCATGTGTATATATCTAACCTGGTGCAATTATCATGGAATGCATGGAAGTAGAGCTTCTCTTAAAAATTTATGTGATGAATGACCAATTAGTAGACGGGTCAGCACTGTGACTTACCTGAAACAAAATAAAATCAATGAATACTTAATATTTAATCAATTAAAATAAATTTTCAAAAATTTATATTTATTTTAAAGTGACTTTTCATGTTGTGTTATTTGAATGATTTCTTTTAAAAATATATTTATTTCACTCTAAGGAGTTCTCGTTAAATTATTATTTCACACAACACCTACTCTACAAAGTGTTTGGCAACAATCCAATCTTCTACATCGTGTACCCATCGTTCCGCAACAATAAAATCGGAAATAATCGTGTGTCGTCAGCAACATCCATCTCAATAAATATTTTCAAAAGTTATATACCTTCTAAGCATTACTCATAATTAATTTATAGTACTATCTTCACGATAAAAGAATAAATAGCCGTCGAATACATGTTTCAAGGCAAAAGGTACTTTATAATAAACTTGAAACTAAAAATTTCACATACTTTAAAAATTGAAATAAATTTACATCATTTTCATACCTCTTTAGTTTGTATTTACCACTCACATCTGATAATATCGGTAATAATTAATTGAATATTTTCTTTCTATCAATTGATTATGCTGAAATTTGTACACTGCAAATCTCGATTTTCAAACACGTGTTGTTTTTACACATTTAAGTGTGTTAAAAATGATGTTGCCCATTTGATTAACATTGTAGTCATTTTTAATACACTTAGATGTGTAAAAACAACACGCATCAAAACATCGAAATTTTTAGTGTGTGCAATGGAGACAGGAGATAATTTAAGGTTTGAAATGAGGCCAGGAATAAGCTTTTGCTCATAGTCGGATATAATCGAGTGATAACGCCTTGTCCAACGATCCCTAGTGCCATGACTAGTAATTGGCTATACCGGATGTTGTACCAAAGCATTTATGCATCATATACATCCATGGACAAAACACGGATTGGTTGGCGCGTGATTATCGCAAATTACGTTTTCGTACTAGCAATTCCGTGTATGATTTGAATGCGCGTGGGTTATCTTGTGCGTGGGTGACTTGTACAGTTATCCAAACATTCACCATCATATCCAACACTACAATCTATAGTTCTATAGTTTTGTTACATCGTCCAATAATCCATGCAATGCTCACACAAAGTCTCCAGGGTATTAACGTGTTGTGTGAATCATCGATTCTCTCTTTTAACTCCTCCACCCTTGCTTTTGTCTACGCTTTTATGCCGCATTTAAATTGCGAAATACGTACGAATTTCCGGGATTAAATCGATACACACGACGTTGTTGGAAGAATATTAAAAATAAAAAATCTCTTTAATTTTTGTGTCACCTTTTTTTTTCATTTAAATTCATTGCAGCATAAAAATGCGATTGTGGGATATTTATTCATTTGTTGAGCAATCGAATATTTGGATTTTTGATTATTGAATATTATGATATTAATATTATTTAATATGGGACAATTGAGATGTTAATTTTTATTGGTTTTTCTACTATTGCCCAATAAAAGATATATAAAGGTAATTATTTTTGACTAAAAAAGTACGCATTCATATTTTTTTATTGGACTATAATTTCTGAATATTAAGTTCATGGAATATAAAAAATAAATTTATTGAAGCCATAGTAACAATTTTTTTTAAATAAAATCTATAAAAAAATAAACAAAATGAATATAATAATTGATATTGTATTGGCAAAAATTTTATCAACTATTAGTAGGATAATAATATGAGTGTTTATAAATTTAATGATGGTTAACTTTCTTCTTAAATATCTAAATGATCTAAACAACTTTATTTTGATGAAAGTAATTTAATTTAAAAAAAACGAAACTTACCAAAATAAATCTAAGACAGTTGTAAAATTAAATTTGATTCAAGATACAACAAAAATAAAATGTGATCAATGAAGTTAACAAAACTTCCAAGTATTTTAATTAAGAGCTCAATATTACATGATTTATGAATTTAACGATAATCAAGAAAAGGAAGTGGCAGAAGGAAATCTTTGCCAAAATCCCCACCTAAGATAAATTCATTCATGATCTGATCTTGAGTAAGCATCAACTGAGTACACAAATCTTCCCTCTTTGCCGTTTACTTGTTTTCTCCTTCAAACTTTGTACACTAGCTGTTGGGCACCGACAATTTTCAATATAAATACACGTGTTCGTACGCATTCACTGTTGGCCATTGAAGTCATCTACATCATGAGAATACGTAATGCTTAAAAATATCGAGAGAAGAATACAAAACATCCCTCGAGTGACATAAGTACATAAAAAATACTTTTACAAATACAAATCGTCATAAAAAGAAAGTATTAAAATTTTATTCGCGTATAAAAAATTTTTAACACCGATAAAACAACCTATAAAAGTCACAAAATTAATTAAACAAAGTGTAAATGAATTTATTACCAGAATTTGTCATTTAACCTTTATCTATGTAAGATTAGCTTGAAATTAATTACCAATTGATATTTCAGGAGTTAAGCGGTTTAATGAGATAACATACTAACAATATAAATGGATTGTTTGACAATAATAAGTACTTACATAAGATTTCTTATTGCAAAACATGTGGCGGAACCACGATAGTTTATTAAAGAAAAGACAAACATAACAGATAAGTCTAGAAGTATAGAATCGAAAGCTAATATGCACTCGTAGCAGATTTTTTTCTGTTATAAACACAAGAAAACTTGTTATAATACTCTTCATATCAATCAATGTTATCCGCTCAGAAACATTATACGCATAGATAATTACAACAAAAATCTGTCAATCAAAATCTATTGAATAATCTCTTATATGAAAAATTATCATAAAGTTATATCGTACGATGCAATACGTCATATATGTCTTAATTATTGTTTAATATCATTCAAAATAAATAATTACCTAAAATTATTTAGAGCATTATTTTATCTATAAAAGTATCTTGATTTTGTTTATTAATTATTTATATATATTTATTAATTCAAAAAAGAACTAATTTAAGCAGCAAGAGCTTTAATATTTCTGTAATCAATTAGTAATATAGAATAAATTAATTTCAATAGTTTTTTGAACAAAGAAAAAGTATTGTAGTTAATGAAGAATAATCCAACCTAATTATACTGTTGTTATCTGTTGAAATATTTTTTTTAATGAAATAAAAAATTTTTTATAAAGATACTTGAAAAAATTCCTAATTTGTTAGTCGATTTTTTGTGGAGCAACCTTTAAAAAAATAATTGGAGTTACAAGGGAAATAAAGTGATTTTTTTTCAACAATATATTTGATTATTTTTTATTCTCCACTCCTCGGTTGAGTTTGTTCATTTTTTCACAAGTATTGCATAGGATAGTACTCTACTCCCTTTGGCTACGGAAGAAAGAGTAAAGAGATATAACAGTCGACTATTTTAACCGTGAAATAACTCAGTCTGCATGGCGAGTCCAAGCGAATTGTAGGTCGCACAAGAGGTGAAAGAGAAAGAGCGGAAAACCAGCATGATATGTAGCTACTAAAGATAGAGCACCTGAAACAACCGTAAAACTTCGTTCTTTTATCTTTTTCACCTTTTCTTTTTTCCCTTCCTTGATTTTATATTATATATGTATGTATAAAATTCACATAACATATTGGCAGTAGCTTTAAGCAGATTGCTTGAAAATAAAGTTCGGAAAATAAATAGGAAAATATAAAAAATGGAATAAATTTTTCCCTTATAATATAAATTCTATGAAATGACTTACTACTACTCTAATGACCTTTTAAGTAGAAAAAAGCCGTCTCGATAAGAATAATATATTACTCGTTCAGGAAACTAATTATACCCATTAATTAGAGAATCGTTAAATATAGTTTTTTTCAATTTTTATAGATACTTTTATAAGAAGATTTTAAGAGAATATTATTTCTGAGAAGAGAATAAACTTTTAATAAGAAATAACGGTTTTAACACACTATCACAGTTTTTAATCGACATCGATATGTCATCTGACTTGCAACTCAATCATTCGTCAGACAAGATGTGTCAGTGTCATTAATTTTAAAGATGCTCAGAGACTTTTGGAGTTCGATTGAAATCGATAAGAAGATAAATTATTCAGTCAAATCATCGGATTAGTTTTGTCTATTTTATTTGATGTGTCACTCTAATTTTCTCTTATTTTATTTTTTACTCCAAAATGACTTTCAAAATATTTTTTATCGTAAAATAAAAAACATTATTAAACATGATTAATTGAGCATTGATGTCTATCGATTAATTAATTATAATCTAATCAAGCACAAACTTTTATGATAATTGATAAGATTTCTTCGTTTACGTAAACTCAAAGTTCCGTGTGGTTTTTATAAAGACTAAACCATACAAGTAGACGTTTCTCAGTTAATATTAACAAATCATTTATTAAAATCTGATTGTTTGTATCAGAGTTTTATTTTTGTCAAATTACAAAAAAAAAAATAAATGTTTAATTAAATTTGAATTTTCACGTTTCAATAAAAGATTGAAAAATCATTGAGACAATAATCGCATCGATTTCTTGACCACTTTGGAGCTATTTCAGCTGATGAGAATCCCTGCTATGATTATTCGAAACTCTGGTGATGAGAAGAAAAAATATGTGGATATATGTAAGTTAGGAGAACAATTTTGTGTTCCATGAAACTGATGAGGGTCTGTTGTTACTTCTTCTCGAAGAGAAAAAAGAAAGAAAAGAAAATGATGATGTATGGAAATCGTTTCTTCCATTAACCTGCAACGAGGGACGTTTTGTATTCTATTTTTGAAACGTAAATGATAGCTCGCGTGACCACCAACAGCTTTTATACTTTCGTAACATTCTCACTACTCAACAATTTCTGTGTTTATGGATAAATATTAAATACTTCCGAATTTTTTCGAATATAAAATGTTGGAAAATTAGAGTAATTACATACAATTAGGAGTAAATAAAAAATTAAAATACATTTCTTCTTCTGATAAAATTTAATTATACATCAGCATACTTGATAAAATTGTATTGTTCAGTAAGTCTAAACAAA